AATCACCGAACTGAGACAAAAGCTTCAAGAAATATGGGATTTTTTTACACCAAATTTTTGCCAAAACTTGGTTAACATTATGCCCCATAGAATTTCAGCCGTAGTAAACAATAAATGTGTGTAGATGTTCTATTAGTTATAGGTCTAAGTGATTTCAAATATGTATTTTTTACGATTAGAGTGTATCTAACACCTACTTAGAGCCGCTTATTTTATGGAAAAATGATTAATTTGACTTCACTATATGGTGGTCCATTCGCGATACTTTTCCCCCGTCGCTGCTTGCATCATTCGTCGACACAACAAGATGCTTGCCCAGAAAAAGGTTGCATACGAAGCTTTGCGAATAAAATGTAGGCAATAATGAAGCTCTAAATCGCTTTACGGTTACTCCTTTTTCGAAGCCGTCGCTGAAAAAAAACGGCAGAGAGCCACTTTAAGTTTGAATTGCGGGATCCGCAGAACCGCCTGTCCGCAAAGGGCCGAACTCTGCATGAAAAGATAGTCACGTTCAGTTAAAGGAGCCATTCACCACTCGAGATGCGCTTGTCGATAGAGTTAAAATGTTACCGTTTTTATTTTTAGTACGCGTCAGATGCGATTCAAATTGAAACGTTACAGCCCTTCTCACTCCTTATGCTAACAGTTTCTTTTCACTTCCCACGCCGCTGGCGAGGAAGGATTGTAGATACGGAGGTTTTCGGAAACGAGATGCCTTTCCGATGGTATATGGGATGCACCTACATATACCTTGGAAAGTATCGCTCGGTCCAGGAGAAAACGGCTTTGCAGGTCCAGCAAAAAAGATAAATCTTACTAAAATTTTATTTGTTGTCGTTTCGGAAGCTGTTAAGCGTTTTCAGGAAAATTTTTGTACAGGTCGAAAATTGGGGGTTGGGACCTGTAGCAGCTAGGTGGTTGTAGATGTTGCAGGTTTGGTGTGAAGGACCTCGTATGGTTCAGAGATGTGTGATACTGGCAGTATTACCTACCTGTTAAACATAATATCACATATATTTCGCATAATATTTACTCCTGTGACTATAGCTATCAGAATCACGCGATATTATTTGAAGGCGGAGTAGAAATCACTTAAGTGTTGTTGTTGATATACTGAGTGAGCCTCTTGTGATAGTTTTCCATCACTCTGTGGATAATTTTACGCGGAGTGGCAGCAATTTCCTGGATTATCATCTGCCTAAGAGTGTCAAGAGTTTGGGGACACGATAGTACACTTTTTCCTAACGGTGGCCCCAAAGAAAAAAGTCACATAGGGTTAAATCCAGTGAGTACGGCTGCCACCTGATGACACCACGCAAAGAAACAACGTGCCCCTGAAACTTTTATCTCCGAATTTCCATTGAATGACGAGCTGGGTGGGATGTCGCCCCATCTAGTTGAAACCACTCTGAGCGGTAAAAGTTTATTGGCGTGTTCAGTCTCAATTTAAGGCAAGCTAACAAAACTCCATATCCAAGAAAACATTGGAAATTGCTAATCGATACAGACAAACCAAAATCAGAAGATCTTCAGTTCCGCGTATAAATGGTAGTTCTACGTTTTTTAATTTTGACGCCACAAGGTTCTGCTCAGCATACCACAAGAGCTTATTAATATCAGACTAATTCCATCTCTTCCAAATCCTTCAATTAGATCAACAGAACGGTATGACACCAATAGACGCATTTAACGTTCAGCAAGATATTTGCTTTTTGCCAAGGACCGAACATCACACAGCACATTTGAAAAAATCGAGTTCAGGCAAAGTGCCCCAGTTTGCAGAATAAGGTATTTCGCCATTACTGCTCTTTAATTATGTTAATAATGTTTAAGAGTAACTGACAGCAACAAATAACTAAACAGGTATAACAATAGATAGAGTTCACCCAGGATATGTGTTGATGAAAACGGTGTGGAAAAAATTCGGGTTGTTATTTGGTTGTTGCCACGTCTAATCTTCCGAATTGCTGTTTATGTTGGTAGTTTCCGTTTTAAGTTATAAACGAATTGAAGATTTGGCAAACTCTAACGGGCAAGTGTTCTAAATAATTATTGAAATAAAAAGTGATATTTTCGTGTGTTTTTTGTTTTTGTATCTGAACAAATTAAGACAAATAAGGATTATTCTAATTTTCTCAAAAACGAATCGACTGATTTGAAAAAATAAAACGTCAAAATAAAGGACTTCGAAAGTCCTTTCGAACAAGCTATTACTCGATACCCCTTGTCATTCGAAATTTTTAAGGGAATGACCCTGGGGGGCAGAAAGTGAAAGGGGTGAAGTAGTTTTTGGTTAAAAGGTTGTACCCCCTGACAAATCTTTTGACGTGTCTTGGCGTTTTTTCTTTTAGTCAGTGGTCTTCGATAAATCCATGGTGAGAAGCTTTCAAATGAACATCCTGTATAGCTTTTCTGTCTTGGAGTACCTACCTCAGTACAATTGGCTACGTGAATATCCTTCCTGAAGGAAATCATGTACGCCGATGTACAGTTGTCCGTTTATGTGAGAACCTGGCAAAAATAAGAAATAAAACATAGTTGCAAAAATTTAAATTATAAGTTGGCTAGGAAGACGGTAGTAACTCTTGAAACTTATACTATGGTTTTCATGTTCATAAGACCTCATTGACAGACAAAATTAAACCACATCCATGTTTCAATTTCTGTTTATTGTTGGCCACAACGACTCCTCACTCAAGTATAATGACAATTAATCTTCAAGGGGTTAAGGGTGTCATTATTATGTCCTTGAAATAACCTTCGAAGGCCTCCATAGTGGCAAACTAACCCCAGATTTTGAATCAGTGACCCAAAAAAACTCTGCTGTAGTTTATATGGTATAAAAGCCGTAGGATTTTTGGCAGCTTTTTGGTCTTTTGCAGCAATGTGCGATGTATTACTTTGTGTTTGGTAGGCTTTGCTGGGCGAATCTGCCCCCCTCATGCACTAAGTCTACGTAGTTTTGACGACAAACAATACAATGTGAACATATGGGGCTCCTTATGAACTATTATAGTTCGTTGAGTGGAACTCGGAAAATTATCTCTCATCTCGCCATACTAGGAACAAAGGATTTACCAGCTGGTTATGACCATCACTTTTCGAGGCATTGTGATTTGTGAATGCGCAATTGTGTTCTAACATCTCGTATGCAGACTGTGTGAACCGGTTGAAGATAAACTTCCCGGATTATTAAATTTTTAAAAGTGCATCTTTTGCAAGGTACAACAGGGCAGCATGGTAAATTAAATTTATGCCACAATTTGCAGTTTCACTGTTCCTTCGAGAATATATATAGCAGATATAATGCCGCGGATATGAGGTCCATACTTTGAAAATATTACGCTATGCAGCGAAAAGTTTTTCAATATCCATACATTCTCTGTCGTCTCCGCATAGTGCCTTGCTTGATATCCAATCTGTGCAGTTTCTGATGTTTTTGTAGTATGATCTCACCCCATGTAAATAGTTCTTAGATAAAACATTCGTCAGTGATACAGGCTCTTCTGGTTCTTCTGTTTCTAGTTCTTTCTGAGAGATAAAGGAGCACACGAAAGCAGCAACTTGAAAACGTAATCTGATATCGCAAAGCTGCTTATTGTCATACGTAGGGGCAACCTGAAAGCAAATAAAGGCGTCCGGGGCTTGGAGCTCTAATTTTCGTTTACTATATGGTCGAAAACGGTTATTTGATATTCACAGACTTCTGTAACACATACAGCTAGCTTACTTTTTAGACTGAATAATACTAATCAACGTAGAGCAACTGTTACATCACTAAGGCATAAAAGCTACATGTACGCGTAACTGCTAGAAAAAGCGAGGCTGTTTAGCCCTCCACATGACCTTCTAACTCTGTACAAGGTCCAGATGAGGCCTACTCTCGAGTACTGCTCACAAGTCGGTCTTCTACCGCTTCGCCAATGGGCTTTGCTCCACAGAGCTCTCCTCCATGATGCCGACGCGCGATGTGCCTGTCAGTCAGATCCGCCTGACTTGGGCCTCCCATCCGAACCGTGTAGAACGTCGTACATCCACAACTGGTCGATACGACCGCTCAATTGTCACTAGGGTATCGACGACAATCTACCTGAGGAGGCTTTTCCCAATTCTGCTTACCTCAGGTAGGTCAAAAATCGATTTAACAAAGTGTCTTTAAGCCCTTCACAGCAGCCTTGGTGTTTGGGCTTGTTCCTGCGCGACTGATTCAGTATAAAAAAAGCAAAATTTTGTCGCAAGTTCCACTATGTGTACCAAACCTAAAAGAACCTTAGCAGTGATGCCTTAGTTCTGCACAAACAGAAATGAAGCACAACATAAATTTGTCTAGTGAACAATATGGTTTTAGGAGATGGAAATCGACCATGCAAGCAGTAAATGTTGTCCTAGAAACTGCAAAAGCAACCAGCAAAACGGCGATATGGAGCCTGGTAATTGGAGAATTGTGGGCAAAAAGCATCTACATATCTGATAAAAATTGTAAAAGGCTACTTTACAGACAGGAGGCTGACCATCTCACGTCACATAATCAGAGTACGCGGAAGTCCACTCCTATAGAAATACGTTATACGACGGAGTATTAAGTATCCTGGTACCACAAAGTGTAAAATGTACCGCGTACGCTGATAGCCTGGCGATAGTTGCGGAGGCGAATGAAGGCAAGGAACTAGAGATAATTGTAGACGATTCTCTGGCAAGAGTGGGTGAGACTGACACTGGCTCAACATAAAATCGAGAAAGTAAATCTTAGGGGTATGCGAAGGAAGAATCCGTTCATATTGCAGATGATTAGAACAACAATAAGGGCAAAAAGAACGCTCAACTATCTAGGTGTAGTACTGGTCAAAGCAGATATCGAGTGGGTACCGCACAGCATCAACTATGACAGCACAAGTGGTACCAAGAATACCTAGTGTTTCCTTGCTAGTAAAGATGAGACTTCGTCTCCAAAATGTAGACAAAGTGGATAGGATAAGGGAACTGCAGAAGACGCTAGATAAATGGCATCGCATCTGGAAAGAACACACGGTACTGGCAGCCTGGACCAAACAACTAATACCAGACCTCATAAAATGGACAAATTGGAAAGTACAGGGAGCTGGATTAACCAGTTCCTGACTAGGCACGATTACTTCAGCACATACACGAAGGAAATGGGCATAACGCAGGAAAACAAATGCAGCTATTGTGGAAGTATTGATACTCCTGAGCACACAGTTGGTACATCTGGAGAAGTGCGATCGTAAGGATGGTTGAAGAACACCTCGATATGTACGGAAACTCGTCAGAAACGTCTTGATGCCAAAAAGACTGCCAGACGCTGCGATCCACTTGAGGATATGCCCCAATAGGAGCTGCTACCGAGGAGTCATGAGCCACAGAGGAAACAGGGGTTTTTTACTAGGCCCCCAATTGCCGCAAAGAATACCATCACGTTTTTTCCCTGCCAATCAAAAAAGGTAGTAATGCTTACGATAAAACCGAAGTCTACATGTGCCAAGCCGCGGGTACGAGGCTAGTCCTACATAGGAATATCAAGGTGCACCAGCTATAAAATCTGCACATTCAGGAAGTTGCAGTATGGAGCAAAAAGATATTGCAATATTCACACCTCGGTGCATCTTCATAGAGCGGCTCATCGTAAATCCGTGCACGAGCCTCAAGAAGTTCTTAAAGTTTAATCAGTTAAGTATACGGTTCTTTGTTCTTCGCACGCTGCGCTGCTGTGAAACTTGCGAAGGTATTAAACTATTTCTTTGACTAGACGCGGGTGTATTTTTAGCCAGATGAGTCACGAAACCTGGTTGTCTCAACGAACAGAAGTCTTTCGTTGGCCGTTAGGCTGACTTTAAAGCTTTGTGGTGTGTTTTAGTTATGTCAAAGCATTTTGTTCTAGTATAGAAACGTAGTTGCGCAAGGCATTATCAGACATCTATGGGAGTATTAAAAAATCAAGTCAGGCGGTCCAAGTCACTGTCATTGGGCTGCCATATTTAAAAATGGCCAGAATGTTGTGAAACGACTTTTCAACATATCTTTGTAATCAATGGAACAATTTCAACTTTTCAAAGCATATCTTCCTCATGTTGTTGAACGAACATATTTTATGACTACAAGTTTTTTTTTACTTTGATATGTCTTTTCAATCATATAACTATTCATTAAGTATGTCGAAGTTACGGAAGTACATTTTTTGCATTCCGTAGCCCCGGGGAAGACATCAAACAGATGTCGAAACTTCGGCTTTAACATTGAGCATTTTATTAAAAAATGGAAATTAAGACAAAAACGGGAGTCATAGTATGTGAACCAGAGACCAAGCTCCGAGGCCACGCTGCGTATAATTGGCTATTAATGAATTGGCAATGCGAATTTTGAAACGCACTTAAATATTCTATAGGAGTACCGGCACCGCGCCCCTTGTTCTCATGATCGAAACCAGCATCGACACTTATTTTGATGAATTAATTCTCCTGTTTACCCTTGCAAATCCTTCATCTGCACTCAACTGAGGAGCACGTGGTAGCTTTGCAATTCAATTGAAATTAAAATCATGTTTCAGTCATGCGATTTGGCGGCTTACGTTGCGGACTGTGGTTTTCAGGAATTATTCAATCTTTGCAGCGTTCACATCTATAGATCACTACCGATGACATGCTTTGGTAGATCGAGGCTGCTACTCGTATTGGTCTCTGCTTCCTGGGTATCGGTGGGCTTGACTGTTATTTAGCTGTGGTCTCCGTCGGACGAGGTGGTACTACCTAATGATTCCCTGCGTTGGGACCAGTATATCTTGCTAATAAACTCAATCGACCGATGCTCTCTAGATTAATAAAACTAATAGGGGAAGCCATAAGGGGCTACCTACTTCCTGAAACACAGGACATGGGAGGAAAAATATGAGGTCTACGTCAAAGTATGTCCAATAAAAATTATTCACAATTTCTCGCAGAATACAAATATCGAATTAAATGTATTGCATTCCATAAGAAAAACAAAGTTGCTCTCAGTTTCTGGACCTAAACCTACCAATTCTTAAAAATTATCTTTCGTCAGTTATGTGTGATGCATTTCAAACTTTTGTTGCAGTCTTCTTTCTCGACTTTCTCACCTGGTACCAGTAAAGCGGCTCTTTGACCAACTCGTCAAGTTGCCAGCATTGAAAATACATACAAACGCTATTCCATGCCCGTCGTTTTTTCTCAGTGGATGGCAGCTCTGGGGGATCTTCGACAATAAGGCTGTCATTTGAATTTAATTGGATCCATATGGCAAACGTTGAAAATTAACCCTTGTCGTATTTGGAACAAATTGCCACAGGCCTTTCAAGAAACCACTGTCGACGACTTATTGATAAACCATTTTGTACCGGGTGTCTGGCTATAAATTGACCCCCTCTTTTTTATATGAGCCACCAGAAGAAAGAGTTGTATATGGAAGTTATAGTGTCTAATATGAAGTTTTTAATGTTAATTTTTTTTTTAGAAAAGTGCTATTGACTAAAGTTGTACCATTTTAAATCATCCTATATAAGGGTTGTCCAGTAGGGACGCAGGAAAGTAAACGTCAATTTGACATAGACGCCATCTTTGTTTTCTGTCACCGACATGTCATTTTGTTAGTTGATCGCTATGGAGTCGTATTCGATTGAAGACCGCATTAAAGTTATTCAAGAGCACTACAAAAATGGTGCAAAAATAACAAACACGTTTCGCGCGCTTCGTGAACATTTCGGTCGCAACAACCGCCCAAACGAAACAACCATCGGTTGTCTGGTGCGTAAATTCGAGGCAACGGGTTCTGTGGCAAATCTGCCAGGCTCTGGCCGGCCAAGGAGCGTTCGCACACCGGAAAATATTGCTGTTGTGAAGGAGAGTGTGAGAGACGATCCGAAAAAATCAAAAACGCGTCGATCCCATGAATTGGGCATTTCGAGAACCAGTTTGCTCCGCATTCTCCACAAGGATTTGAATGTACACGCCTACAAGATCCAATTGATGCAAGAGCTGCGTCGGGCCGACCATTTTTCGTGCCGAACGTTCTCAGATTGGCTCCTTGAACACCGCCAAATTGATGCCAATTTTTCATCAAAAATCATGTTCAGCGACGAAGCGCATGTCACTTTGAATGGGACGGTAAACAAGCAAAACTGCCACATCTGGGCGAACGAAAATCCCCGTGAGTATTAAGAGCAGCCGATGCATCCTCAAAAAGTGACTGTGTGGTGTGCATTGTGGTCAAAAGGCATCATCGGACCTTACTTTTTCAAAAATGCGGCCGGGGACGCCGTTACCGTCAATTCTGAGCGAAATCACGTGATGATAGAGGACTCTTTTTTTCCGCAACTAGAAGGAATGGATATGGACGATGTTTATTTCCAACAAGACGGTGCAACATGAAACACAACCAACGTCAATATCCATCGATTGCAGTCCTTCTTAGGTGATCGCGTGATTTCGCGCAGAGGAAATGTGCCATTGTCACCAAGATCGTGCGATTTGACTCTCTTGGACTTACTTTTATGGGGATATTTGAAAAGCAAAGTCTACGTCAACAAACCAGCCACCCTCCAAGAACTCAAAAACAACATCATTGCCGAGATAAATGCCATAGAACCGACCATGTTGCAAAATGTCATTGAAAACTTCGACCATCGCGTGGACGTCTGTAAAGCCAGTCGTGGTGAACATTTGAGCGATATTATTTTTCATAAAGTACCCAACTTGATTTAAATATCAATCTTTCTTGTTTTAATATGCGTTTACTTTCTTGCGTCCGTTTTGGACAAACCCATACTTCTAGAAAAAATGATAGACCCATTTTTATTCAAAATATAATACTTGTTTTCACTTTACATATGATTAAATGACACACAAGCTTGAATTTTTTGACTTCAGTAATACAATAACATATATTATTTTCACTAAAAATATACAGGGTGTTCCCGTTAAAAAAACAGCTCAATTCGACAGAACTTTTCTGAGACACGCGATATACAAAAAAGATTACATGAAAAACTCATTAGACCCACTAGCTTTTATATACAACTTTTTCATCTAGTTTTTATTACATTCGTCATACGGTTCTTAGGAAGACATAGTCTAAAACATTGTTGAGGTTATTTACTTGCTAATTAGCAAGATGAAGCCAAAGTAATTTTGAACTGATCAGCGGTAGGTAACGATTCAATTCACATTCCCCTACGTCCTGGCATCCTTGCATACATTGTTGCCTTAATCAACCTAGATTCTGGCTTGGATTAGAACCATAAAACTCATTAAGCGTGATGCTCTTAACTGCAATTGTCCACCATGGAACCGTTAAACGCTGAATCCTGCTATTAAATGCTATGATTTCCCCATCAAGTTAATAGACTTTAGACTGGATGAAATTGATTGGAGCTCATTAACATTGGAAGAGGCAATCTCTTTTTTAATCGTTCATTTAGAAAGTTATGGTCCAGGAATTATTTAAAAATAGCCCATCTGAGGGTATGAGTTCTCCCTCAAGCAAATTGATCCCCAAACATAAATGTCAAAGTATTGCTTTAATTCTGTGCTTGTCAATCAATTTTCTGCTACGAACTTCTTTCATCTTTGGCATAGTAGTAATCTTGTGTAAAAATTTTATCAAAATCCGAGCGATGCTTCAAGTTATAGGTGGTTATAAAACATGCGTCATTTTGAGATGATTATAATAATGCTTCTGATACTCATATTATTGATTGCTATACACATGCACCTTTTTTTAAGGTTTCCTTCGCGAAGTTCCTGCAACTATTTTGCGAATATGAATATCTGAAACGGAGAATAGTAAACAGAATTACGTTCTTGGAAAAAAAAAGACAAGAAATATCAGTTTATCTTTTTGCTAGACACAATCACATATTTCTTATTAGAAGAGATACATTTCCTAGAGTCTAAGAAAAACATCCGAGCGTGTCTCAATTAGAACGTATCCTAAATAACGGGAAAGCGAATTGACAGAAGCAAATAAACTAAAGTATACTAAACAACGGAAAGCATGTGAGAAACTGCTTAGGGAAAAGAAGAGGAAAGATAAAGACAGCTTTGTGGAATAGAAGAACTCTGTAACAATGGGGAGATTCGAAATCGGGAAGACGACGAGCACGAAATTAACGATTTTGAGGAACAGGAAAGGGTGTTGGATGATAAACCAAACCTAGATGACATAAAAAAGATTCTAGGAAGATTAAATTCAAATAAAAGTGCTGGTATAGATGACGTCACAGGAGAAATGCTGAAATTCAGAGGTGACAAAGTCATTGAGGTAATGCACAGTTTGATAGGGGACGTTAATAAGCCTAATGTTTGAAAAAGGGGATAAAAAAATCTGTGAAAACTATAGAGGGATAGCCCTATTGAATGTTGGATATAAAGTGGTAGCGACCTCCCAACTAACAATTATCACTCCTATTAGAGTTGCAAGAATGATTATACAGTATTCCTTAAACAACATTGTATACTGTAAGAACATTGGCAAAACCCTCTTAGAACAGCTATACAAGCGGAATGGGCACACCTAATAGGACACTTCAGTCATTTAAGAGGTTGTATAAGGGCTGCAGGTAACATTTATAAAACAAAAGTGTAAGCCTCGTGCAGCCGCTATAGGACATTTGCGTCAGTGCAAGATTCAGTTCTTGTCAACTATACAACTATTATGTTACGTGATTCTACTTTACTGCAACCAAACTAGTTCTTATGTATTGTATAGACGAAGTGAAGAATATATAACTAACACATTACAGTCATCTTGTTTACTTACATATCGGCCATTGTGAATTTCATACACAGGTATATGATAAACTTCTACACTGTGATATAGGGCTATTGAATTACTTGCGCAGCAAATTTTATTGTGATTATCGGGCAAATTAGTTACGCAATTTCTACGGGCTTCGTATTTGATTCATATTTTGACAATGATCAAAGGTATGTCTAGATTTTTAAGATGGAAAACTGAACCTATCTGCGTTAAATCTTCCACAAATCCGATATTTAGACACAATTACACTAATGTTTATCACTTTATATCTGTAATTTCAAACTGAAACATAATTATTTAATATTAAATAGAGGAATAAATGTTTGCCCAATATGGCGGGTGGTTGTGTATAATCATGGCATCGTCCATGTTGTCTTTAGGTTATTAGAATATTTTGGTATTGCCTGCAGATGTTATACAACAATTTGAAAATGTCTGAAATTAAATACCGACAGAGTTGAATGATTTACCCAGAATTCGAACCAGATCTATATCTTCTGTTTGAACAGTTGATAAAACCTTTTGAACCAATATGCATGCGTTGTTTGTCTTAAAACATTGGTTATGGCATTTTAACAAAAATATGACAGCAGAAAGTTAGGTTATGGTGAAGTTGTTTACCAACATATTTAGCATTTTAGCATATGTACAGCCTTTAACAGTTACTAAACAACAGTTGTATAAGTGCTTTCGTTGGGAGCAATTTGTTGGCTAAGGTAGTAAATTGCACAGCAAAACAACAAGGCTCGAGTTTGTCTTATAAACGTTACCATGGATGCCACCACACAACCATTTTGACTAACGTGGAAATATGCCGTATAAAATAGTTGTATAAATGTTTATGCAACAGTTAAAAATTTGCCCTATAAGGTGTTGTATAACTATGCTATAAGAATATTTTAAACACCTCATTTTAGAGCAAATATGTTGCAGAAAGCAAACTTGCATTCCACACAAAATTAAGCCAGCATTTTGGTGTTCAGGCAACAACAATAGAGAGCTTTTATGGCTGAACGGTTCCTTTACCAAAAGCTTATACCACTACTTTGCTAGTTGGGCTGTATTAAGAGTAGACTTTCATCGAAAATGTTAGGATGAATGGGAGAATATCAATGTGGGTTTAGAGCAGGAAGGGGTGTGGTGGACCAAATTTTTACGTTTAGCGAGACCCAGGCTGAGAGTTATCAACGTCAGAAAGATACATATGTAGTGTTTATAGACTTCAAAAAAGCATATGATACAATCCGAAGATCGGCAGTATACCAAGCACGAAGACGACTTGGGAATAGTGAAAAGATTATAACGCTAATAAAGTTGACCCTTCAGGAAACGGCAAATAGAATAAAAGTTAAAGGAAAATATTCTGAAAAGTTCAAGGTAAAAGGGGGGTTGCGGCAAGGCGGATCCTCAACGGATCGTTGTCAACAGTTTTATGCAACTATGTATTGGAAGATATAATCAGAGCAGCAAATTTACGTATAAATAGGAATGGTTTATTACACAATAGAAGGCACCAATGTTTAGCGTTCGCAGATGACATTGCAATTGTGGCTAGAAGCAAAAGAGAATTTATGCAGGTACTAAAAACATTTGAAGAGAAAGCAAAGGAAAAGGGTCTAATAATAAATCAGGAAAAACAGACAGTGGCAAATTATACCTATAGTTGCCGTCCATCTGCCCCTCATATCTCATCTCCTTTTCGAGTTTCTTTTGCTATTATCGTACAATACCGCCTTGCCGATCGGCATAGGAAGTAATGCAAATAGAAACGACGATTTTTTTCCTAAACTTGTAAAAGAATGTTCCTTCACAGACCAGATAATTATTTGCTTTCTTCTAATTTTTCAAATAGCAATGCAATAATCAAGCGGAATTAGAGGAATGTCAAACTGCTTACAGAAGAAAAACTGAACATTCGTATTTACGAATATTAGCAGTAGTTATTCGCATTCATATTCGCGTTCCGGAAAGCCTTAGAATTGGCAACCGTTGCATTCCTACTTTTCACGCCAATTGGCGAGATAGTAACAGTTCTTATAATTACAAATCGGGACAAATATGGCAAATGATATTGGTTTTTGGGTGCTACATGATAACGGGTGTTTTTTTTAGAGGTACAGAACTTTAAATTGCAATAAAACAACGATGGATTATTCGATTCAAATTAATTTTTTTTATTAGAAAGATAATCTTGTGGCATTACATTTTAAATATAATTTCTCGCATATGACTGCCACGGCTGACTCGGTTGTAGTCCAATCTGGACGTCCAATTTTCGATGACTTTTTCCAACATTTGTGGCCGCATATCGGCAATAACATGGCGAATGTTGTCTTCCAAATGGTCAAGCGTTTGTGGCTTATCCGCATACACCAATGACTTTACATAACCCCACAGAAATAGTCTAGTGGTGTTAAATTACAAGATCCTGGAGGCCAATTCACACGTCCAAAACGTGAAATTAGGCAGTCACCAAACGTGTCTTTCAATAAATAGATTGTAGCACGAGCTGTGTGATATGTTGCGCCGTCTTGTTGGAACCATAGCTCCTGGACATCATTATTGTTCAATTCAGGAATGAAAAAGTTAGTAATTATGGCTCTATACCGATCACCATTGACTGTAAAGTTCTGGCCATCATCATTTTTGAAGAAGTAAGGACCAATGATTCCACCAGCCCATAGAGCGCACCAAACAGTCAGTTTTTCTGGAGTTGGATTTTATAAGCACGCAAAACCTTCCATAAAGTTGATGGACACAGATCCAATTCCTGTGCTTGATGGCGGATGGACTCATTCGGCTCTTCCTCAATGCTACGCTCTACAGTAGCAATAGCTTCTTCTGTACGCACCGTACGGCGTCTTTGGGGATGCGAGTTATCAATTAGTAATCCTGGTGCGGAAACATTCCATGATTAGTCGAATTAACTGCTCTGATGGACGATTTTGTCGACGATAAAATGGACGTAGTGCGCGATACGTATTCCGCACAGAACCATTATGTTCGAAATAAAACTGCACAATTTGCAAGCGTTGTTCAGGCGTGAGTCTATTCATGATGAATTACCAAACCAAACTGAGAATAAGTCACTTGACAGCTAATCGGTCACCATCTTCAAAAGTAATGCCAACATAAAGTTTTATACCTCGAAAAAAACACCCTTTATAATACATCACGAAAAACCTTGTCACTCAGTTTTGTCGGTATGTCTGATCGCTAATACTTGACCCGCTATAACTCAGAAACACTATTCGGATTTTGATGAAATTCTGACACTACGACAAGAAGGAAAAAACTTCGTATGCTTTAAAAATCGATATAGTGGCAACAGAACAACGAGGAAAAAATGGACAAAACAAAAATAAAAATCAAATTTCGTTTTTAAGGGTTCCTTCTCATTTATTTGGAGAGATTGAAAATCAGGGGTTGGCGGTTTTAGGAGGTTGGGGCTTGTATAAGATGCATACCTTGTATCAGTAAAAGAATTAAGGCCATTCTGATCAATCCCCGCAATATTTTGCACCTGACAGAATAGTCACACATATTTTCCTTAGGCAGGTTGAAAGAAATGATTATACAGGGTGGCGCGTCGAAAACGAAACAGACGCGTTTAATGGCAGCAAAGTTTTTTTTGTGAACGCTCAGACCCGTCGATTTCGTTTTCGAGGGGGACACACGTTTGGCAAAAAATTACGTTAGCACGTGCAGCCCCCTAAGCGGGGATGACACCACCCCCAAGATCTTAAATGGAAAGGGGGGTCGAGTGATACCTTATTTTAAAGATCTTTCGATTCCCTTTATAATGATATAAAATCAATGTAATGTAGATTTTGCTCAAAACGTTGCCGCACATTTTGCAATATTTGAGGAGTAATTTGAAGGCACTCATTCACAATTCTTTGTCGCAGGTCTTCTAATGATGTTGGCTGAGTAGCATAGATTTTGCATTTTAAACGACCCCTCATAAAGAAATCCAAAGGTGATAAATCTGGCGATCTTGGGGGCCTTCAATGGTACCTCTTCTACCAATCCATCGATCTAGAAACGTCTGATCTAAAGATTGCCGAACACGTAATGCGTAACGTGGTGGGGCACCATCCTGTTGGAACATCAACCTATTCGCAATGTACCGCCGACCATTCTGATTTTCAATTATGGCAGTTAATGCAGGATCTATGGCGTTTTCCAGTAATTTCAAATACATTTCACCGATCTAATTTCCTTATGGGATTTTCAATGTTGCATTTTTTATTGGCGACTGACCCACTTTCCCGAAATTTAGCTACAAGTTCTAGAACATATTTCTGCTGTTCTATTAGCGCACTGATTATTTCCGAAAACTATTTCGATAATTTCAACTCTTTCTGCTGTGGAATATGCCATGGTTAATTTATGTAACAAAGCGTTAAAAGTTATTTTAGCAACAAAGTTTGGTCAAACCAATCGCAAACTATGTACTAAATTCTTATTTGAAATAAGTACGAGATATTTCCTTATCTTTCTTCAAGAAATAACTTTTTGCCAGAAAAAAACGCTCCAATAGCTATTTTCAACAACAAAATGATAATCAAACCATGGGCGTAGTGAAGGAAAGCATTTACCTATTACGTAAATTCTTTTAGTCAAATTTCTTCCGAAAGTAGTACAAACTAATCTGATGTACCTGTTAAAGTCTACTTTAAGCTTTAAATCAATAAATCTTCAAAACTACTGAACTGAGGCTCATATATTTCACATCATTATAAAGGGAATTGAAAGACCTTTAAAATAAGGTATCACTCGACCCTCTTTCCGTTTAAGATTTTGGGGTTGGTGTCACCCCCGCCCAGGGGGTTGCACGTTTTAACGTGATTTCTTGCCAAACTTGTGTCCCCCTCGAAAGCAAAATCGACAGGTCTGAGCGTTTTTCCAAAAAAAAACTGAGCTGCCAGTAAATGCGTCTGTTTCGTCTTCGATGTGCCACCCTATATACGTATATGTGTAGTGAAGTTGCAATGAAAAATGCAATAATCTTTATATAATATAACCAGTCAAGTTGCAATCCCGTTTGGGTATTTTAAATAAACACTACTCATTTTACTTCGCATGCGCTGATGAAGTATTGCAACCTCGATTTTGAAAACGGGATATTATGTTTTTCGGATGTCGCGGAAAACCTTGTCATCCATTTCTGTTGGTCTCTCTGCCTGTCGATTTGTTAATCCTTGGTCCGTCTACATCTTGGAAAATGCCGTACGAATTTTGAACATTTTGACATAAGATTACTATTATGCCAAGGACGACAAAACTTTGAAAATAAGTCCAGTGGCAGCGGAGCTGGAGCAAAAGGAGAAAAAATAATAGAAGTCGCTCAAACCTCGTTTTCTATACTTGTGGATCCGAAATCAGCAAGTGCCGATTATTCAAAAAAATATATTAACAGCCAATCGTATTTATTCAATGAGACCACGAGCTGTCAAGGTTTCATGACGAATAATAAAGGAACGAGAATGTATGAAACTTGACCGGATTCAAAGTTCATAGTATGAATTTTTTGAATCGACAACAATGTTACAAAGGCTGGTATAGCTTCTTGAAATCATTAATACAGTGTTCTTAGCTTAGCTAGCTGCTGCAGCCCGCATACACCATTTCTCAAAACATTTGAGGAAGGTGGCATTGCATGAAAGCTGAAAAGCTCAAAAAACCATAGCAGAAGCCTGGTGGGATATTTTCAGGCAAAACGCCTCGGTAAAATATTCCTTTCACGGGTTCATGTTACACGAGTAGAGCAAAATATGTAAAGTGCTGCTGTACAGCTTTGATATATGATGAAAGACTCGAAAGCCGTCTGTGTGTATTCATCATGCTGTATCCACTTCATACGTTATAAAAGTACGTCATGAACATACAGTTTCAAGTCTACATTGACGTTTAGACCATGGCTTGAGGTTAAGATAGTTTTTTCTTTCTCTTTCACAGAGTCATAAATCATAAATTCAAGAATGCTTCGGCATATAGAGAGAAAGGAAATGTCGGCTGGTTGTATGATTTATTTGCCTTTTTAACAGTCTATTTGGAAAATGATCGATTGAGAGCATTTATTGAAATATTATATGCAAGGTTTGTTTGACGGAATGTATGAAAACTCATGGGATACGGAACGATGTAGCTATACTAGAAAAGAAAGGCACATGCGATATGAAACACAAACAGAAAAATGGCAATTTGAAGAACGCGGGCACAATAGATAAGTTACAAACTAAAAGATATAAAGGGTGTCTCAGAAATATTTTCGTTTTTAGATCAGTCCTCTGGCGGAATACGCATGCTCCGGAGAAACGAGACAGTTGACAAACGTTTGGCAACATTGTTAAATTTTAGTTGCAATGGAGCGT